ATTGTCAATATCTTACATTGCCAAGGTATTCTTGTTACAACCAGGGAGCTAACAATGACACATTATTAACCTAATGCCATACTTACTTGTATTTCAGTAATTTCCTACCAATGTCTTTGGCATTCCAAGTATTGAACAAGGCTTTTTTTTAAAAAATACATTTTCTTAAAGCTCTTCTTCAAATAGTAGCAAACTCCAAATGAAAAAGCCCTACAAAACTAATCACTTCCCTGCAACTAAAGATCTCAATTTCTACACAGGAGCTATATTACATTAACCTCAAATTGCTGACCATCTGCCAAGATCCATTTCCCTTCCACAGCCCTCCAATGAAGCTACCACCTGTTATTCTGGAAATGCACATTAAAAACTGAAAGTACAATGAATAACCATCTCCTTTGATTCTAAATTTGCTTTCTTAACTCTGAATTTCACAGGCAATTACATATTCACTAAGTTGATCCAACTAGGTGTTCTTAGGAATATTTATGGGGTTCTCCTGCTTCCAACCACATACAGTAGCCTGAACAGCTCTAAATTAAGTATATAAAGAGAGCTGATTCATTCAGTTGCTTTTTCTAGCAGGCTTCTTGTACTCAGAAAATCATATTCTACAGTCTGGAAATTAATTAATACTTAACAATGGAAGTAAGATTAAAACGTTGTTGGTATAAATTCTATTTGTGCAACAACCAGCCCTGGGCCCCATCTTATCCCAATGGGAGTGAATATGAGACAAAAGAGCACCCTTTTCTATTTAATGCAAAAGAATCATAGCAGAGTCCTCCAAGGTGTTTTCAAATTTAAAAAAAAGAAGTTTTTTAAAATAACATCTTACATGTGACGTACATAGAGAATCATTGAATAAATATTTGAAATGCAAAATATAAGTACTTTTAAAAAGTACAGTAATAGAGTTCTTACATCTCAGTCTCTGGTCCACAAAGACTCACAGCATGTGTCTGGGAAGGGTGATGAGTAAGAAAGTATCTTTGATTTGGCTAGAGTACTGGTCTTTAAAAAACAAGTTCCAAAATGCTTTACCAACCACAAATCCCAACTTCCTACCTGAACTTTGGAAACTTCCAGGTTATCTGAGTATATGTCACCCCATACTTACATGACCCCAGTCTCCTTGCTGCTTCTTGATGGACTTAGCAAGAGCACTGTACAGCTGTTACTGTCATGCTTTTGTCTAGACATCCTCCTGCCTCGCTTTTTAAAGTTCCCCATTGAAATGTCACTTCATTGATCAGGTCCCTTCTCAAACTGTCAACATAGCGTTTCTGTGCCACATTTTTCTTCAAGGCCCCTGTCATTAAAGATTTTTTCCATTACCAAATCTTTTCTTTTGAAACAGGGTCATATATAGCTCAAGCTGGTCTTGAGCAATAGAGCCAAGGCTAGTCTTGAAGCTCCTGTTTGCCTCCATCTCCTAAGAGCTGGGATTACAGGCATGTGTTATTGTGCCCACCTTTCTTTTACCAAACTTTTAGGTTTCTTTAAGTCTTTTCACTACTTGTCCTTACCTTGGGTCTCTGTGTTCATTCCTACAGAGTCCAATTATACTAAGAAAACCGCTGAATTGATTTACAGAGAGTCTCATCCTTAGATTTGACTATCTCTCTATCTGATCAATTCTTCATTTTCTATCATCTCCCATGGAGTCTGCTCATCCTACTGTACCTTCATCAGGAATTTTGTTAAGTGAATGTAGCAAGAATTCTTCCCAGTTCCAATGTCATCTCAGAGATTTTTCTATTCATGGCTATGCTGGTTAGTTTTCATTATCTTGACACAAACTAGAGTCATCTGGGAAAAGAGGATACTTAACTGAGAAGATGTCTGCATCATATAGCCTGTTGTCAAATCTTCAGAGATATTTTCTTGATTAATGGTTGATGTGGGAGGGCCTAGCCTGCTGTGGCTGGAGCCATCCCTGGGTAGGTGGTCCTGGGTACTATAAGAAAGCAGGTTGCACAAGCCATGAAGAGCAAGCTAGTAAGCAGCATTTCCCCATGGTCTCTATTTAGTTCCTGCCTCTAGGTTCCTACCTGGAGTTCCTGCCTTGGCTTCCCTCAATAGACTGTGACCTGGGATCTGTAAGCCCAATAAACCCTTTCCTCTCCAAGTTGCTTTTGGTCATGGTCTTTATCACAGCAAGAGGAAGCTAACCAGGACTGCAGTCCTCTACCCCCAACATCTCAACCTTTTCCTCGGTCCTAAATCTTCATTTTTTTCCTTCAATATTTGAAATTGACATAGGTCCTTCCTCCCTTACTGAACTTCTTTCTGAATGGAAACATATCAGCTTCTGTTTTCTTACATGTTACCTGCTACATTTTATATGTATTTTGAACATGATGACCACGTATTTCTATCCCGTGTTCTCCTCCCCACAATGTAAATGCCGAGAATAGAGACTCTGCTGAATCTTCAGTGCCTAGTGCTTGACATGCAATAAGTGTTTAAAAACTACCTGTTGAATCAATGGTTTTCTTTTCAGAAATAAACTTCATACAAGTTATGGGCCGCTTATAAAGTCAGCACTGGGAAGATGAAGACAGGCACATCTCTGGGGACTCACTGCCAGACAACCTAGCCTAATCAGTAAGCCCCAGGTCCCTATGAGAAAACTTGTCTTAAAAAAACAAATAGGATGATTCCTGAGGAACAACACTTAAGGTCGTCCTCTGACCTCTACACATATGTATACATACAATCACACACTTGTACCTGCACAACACACACACACACACACACACACACACACACACACACACTACCAGCAGCCACCTTTTTAACTGCTTTGAATTTGCCCTCACTCCTCCTCCCACACTACTTTCTCTTCTCTTTCACTGTTAACCTGGATATGCACAATGAACAGGGGCTATAACATAGTCTCAGTGCTATGCTGTCTTGAAATATCTTCCACTGAACTAGTCCACTGCTTTTGAGACAAGACTCACTCTTCTTTGCATGGGCAAAATATAGCCCAGATCCTTTGCCAGGCTGTAACATAAATGGTCTCTAGTTCAATTGCCAATGGGTTTTGTGTTGCCTTTTGAAACCCCATGAGCCGAACCTAACATTGTCCTCATTTTTCTCAGAATTCTGTGCTAGTTGTTTTTACCTTTTTGGCTCTTTGGGGGCCTGCCACCAGCTCCCCAATAATCACACATGGAGACCTAATTCTTACTTATAAATGCCCGGCCTTAGCTTGGCTTGTTTCTTGCCAGCTTTCCTTAACTTGAATTATCCCCTCTGCTTATTGCCTCTGGGATTTTACCTTTCTCTATTTCTGTACATCTTACTTTCACTTTTACTCCATGGCTGGCTGGCTGGCTGGCTGGCCCCTAGCGTCCTCCTCCTTCTCTTGCTCCTCCTATTTATTCTCTCTGCCTGCCAGACCTGCCTATCCTTTCTCTTGCCTCAATATTGACCATTCAGCTCTTTATTAGACCATCAGGTGTTTTAGACAGGCACAGTAACACAGCTTCATAGAGTTAAACAAATGCAACATAAAAGAATGCAACACATCTTTGCATCATTAAACAAATGTTCCACAGCATATACAAATGTAACACATCTTAAAATAATATTCTACAACAATTCTGTTCTTCTGAATTCTACTAGAGTGGCACATCAATCTCTGCTTATATCATTGTATGGTCTCTGGTGTCCAGAGCTCTAAACTCTTCTAAATGCCTCCTACACACCAGTTCTAAAAACCTAAGAACCACATGGTCACAACACTCCTATTCCTCCTTACAATATTTCCATATTAGTTACTTTCCTCATTGGTTTGACAAAAGCTATTTAATGAAGGCAATCCTTATTCAGGCTCATCATTTGAAAGGGTACAGTTCATCATAGTAGTGGCAGGAGCAGTAAGTGACTGATCACATTGCACCTGTGGTTAGGAAGCAGATAGAGATGAATGTGGGTGTTCAAGTAGCTTTCTCTTTTTTATTTACTCCCAGATTACAGTCTGTGGAATTGGTACTATTAATCCCATTGTGCAAGAATAAAGACCACTCTCTCAATTTTGGAGCCAAATTTGAAGGAATTATTTAAATAAATACAGGCCAGGATGATGGACTCTGGTCAGGTCCATTTCAGGGTT